AAACCTCATGTTACCTCAGCATGGTTTTGTAAAGTTCAGGTCATGTGTGACTTGCTACTTGGAACTATTTGACTTTATGACTGGACTTACAGATGAAAAATTTGTTGTACTTATTATGTACTTGATCTTGAGAAGGCATTCGACGAGTTATGTCATAGTTTAATCCTTAAAAAACTAGGTGTATCTGGCAATCTTTCGCAGTGGTGTAATTCATTTATATATGGTCGTTCTCAACCTGTTGAGATTAACGACACATTTTCTAGTGGCACCCTAATATCAAGTGGCATAATTCAAGGTAGTGTACTAGACTTTCTCTTCCTTCTTATATGCCTAAACGCTGCATGTGATTTTATAATGCATGGCAGACCCTCCCTAAATACCACAGTGCCACCCATGAAGTAACAAATCCGTTTCATAAAATTCAATCGGATATTGACAATATTGAGAATTGATGTAAGCAATGGACGATGCAGATCAACATGGAGAAGTATGGTCTGTCATGCTCAGCTCGCCTTTGTGTCGCGCCACACGTAACTATATGCGACAAGCCAATTACCACTTTCCTCTCTGCACTTGACCTCGGGCTCACCCACTTGGTTGATTTAAAATTCCCTCACTATGTTACCAACAAGGTTTCTATAGCCAGAAGATAACTTGAATTAATATTTCAAAACTGTCGCATTTGTCAGATATTCAGATTATTATTAACACATATGGTGAAAAACGGAACAGCCTCCACCATGAAACCTGTTTATCATTGCAAAGTTGGACACATGAATCTGCTAATATCAAAATAATGTTAGACTTACCGGTAACGGAAGAACTTTATAAATTTTCTAATCCTTTATAGCTGATTAACTGATAATGATTGTGATTTCTGCATTCTACATCTTACTCTAGCACCTGTGTATCGTATTTCTTCCCACTTTTCATTAGCGCGACGTTCTGTGATTCCCGTGTGAAACTGGCAGACCATAGGTATATAAAGATTAAAAGTCAGACTTAATCCAATATCTTATAACTTGTTGGGTTGTAAGTAATCATTACAAGTTTCTCCTATGGGTGTTTGGATTTTCTTCCTTTCTTAATGTTTATGCCATAAAACAGTGTTCAACCTAAAATTGTATTTGTCAGATATGATCACGCCTGTTCAGACGGTATGTAAATCATGCAAACGCCTAATTTAAGTGAAAAAGGACTTATTTTATGTACTTTTACACTCTCTTCATATTCTTGCCAACCAGTTTACTTTTGAGCGGCTATAAGTGTTATTTTCCCTCTCCACTAGCTAGGCAGGTGTCAAAAACAACATGACCACTAGGTCAGGCAGGCCAGGCTAAAATGCCTGGAGGTAGTGCGACCAGAGCACAGGTATAGCAAGATATATGGCCATGCAATAGTCCTTAGCGGTATTTTCCTGATTGAAACCGTCCGAAAGCGAGCTCAAGTGTTATCAAGCACTCAGTCCAACTGGATTCCTATAAGGGCAGTCACTATTCTATAAAAAGGTTGCCTTGAGAATCATAAAGAGGATTTAGTTCACACTTCGTTACTCGTCTTGTACTTCTGAACGTTTTAATCAATTACTACCCCTTAATGACCGCAACGTTCTGTGTTGAATAGATTCTACAGGTTTCTCTCTTTTCTCAAAGCCGTCCTCTGCCTCACATCATCAACACATAGAAGGAGTCCTGAGCCTAAACTACCTTATAGAAAACAAGAATAATAATGGTCTTGAAGTAGTGCCTTGCTTTACTGTATTTAAGATGTTTCCAGTTCCGATGTAAACTATTCACCTTCGGCCAAAGTATCATACACCAAACGGGTTTAAAACCCGACTTTTCTGCCAAACGATTACTCGAATCGCCAACCGACAACCCATAATATTGCAGAAGATCAACAATGCTTATCAGCCTTTATTTCCGGAAGCAAAGGGTAAGCGAAGCGGGACATTAATCATTAAATAGATAAAGGTAGCCCTACAAATCATAAAGAATATACAGACCCTATTTGGTTGCTCATTCCGTCCTCCTTAGTTCCTCAATCCCTTGCAGCATCTGAGTGGCCGTATTATAGATGCGCTACAAAAGCTCGGATTGATGAAAGCAATAGGCTACTGATTCCTATTTGAGAAAGTTTCCAGGGAAGAATTCCGTGTGACATTAAGAAGCTTCTCCTAGGCCCTGATGTTACCTACAATGAAAATTTTGCGAAAACTATGCAAGTATGTCACTTATTTTAGACTAGTACCCAATGTGGACCTAAATCAAGAATAAGACTCTATGCAAAACACAACAAGTTTATATGGGGGAATTCCTTTCAAGCTTAATTTTTCCCAAGTGTTTGTGATACATCCAAAAGAGACTTGGCTATTTTTCTTAATGTGCTTCATTGAATGACTAGTTTGCAGATCGTACCCACAAATCAAACCATGAACATTCACCATAAACCGATCTTATGTGATTTAAATAATCTGTATTCATGTCTGTAAAACTGGTTTGTTCTTTCACAGATAGGAATAAATATATTATTATTATTATCGGTGATCCCTTAGTATTTGTATTACGTCTAATAAATTCATGGGCCCATTCCACTTCATGAACTTTAATCTTCACTGATCAATATTTTCCCACTTTCGAGATTAAAAAATGATGTCACGGCCATGAAATTCGCCTTACGAAACCTTCTCAAAATCCACGTGGATACTAATCAACAATAACGATGAACTTCATGGCCTTATCTGCATGCAGAAAATTGTGAGGAGTTTAAAAATGTGCTTTCAGATAATAGTTGTTTTCTTAAGGTTGAATAGCTTTTGTCTTTTGTTCATGTTAACATTGTTTAGTGATGTGCATAAGCAGTCAAAGGGGCTTATTAGTTTCACCATACCTGTGGATAAAATGCAGCCAAACCCAACCACTATGTAGCTATCCTTATTAATAACCACTGAATTTCTTTCATGCTGGTGATGTTCCTCATCAGAGGGCTTCATTTCCAGGTGCTAAAGAGGATTTTGGAGGAACGTGTCCATGGAACTTATATTGCGTTGTCATTTTGCATTCTATAGGTTTTGTATTATCTCATTTCCTTAGGTGTATCTGTTAACAGGCCTTGATTTGGTATTCCGTTTTATCCGCCTGGCAGCACAGGGTGCACACTAGTGAGAAATAGTCGACTGGTCGAAAGCGATTTTGAGATAAGTGCATACAAACCGCGATTCACTGTCTATAGCCCACAGGTGTACACGTTTAATCCTATGGGCATTAAGTACATTAGAATGGAGGGCAACAACCATGAAGAACGTCTAGCTGTTTTCCTCCTAGAAATATATTTGGAGTGTATTGTTGCACAAGGCATCTTAACACCTAAGTGGTTGGATTCTGTTGCACCGGAAACAGTAAAAATACTATTAGTTCAAAATATTTGCCGTTTGAATCCGTTGTCTCTGGGTAGTATTGGGCTTTCGTGTTAACCACTTTGATATATCTTATACGAATTGACTGAAAGCATGAGGATTGGCTTCTCTTGGAAAGGTGTTTCCGACAGTGTAGGTGACAAAACAGCCGGCATTACTCGAAGATGCATTTCGTAATGTTCTAGAAAAACCAACCATTTTCAGTACAACTAGCTTCGAAAGTGTGACGAAAAACTGGAAAACTTATGATCTGCCCTATTTGTATGCATTCTTGCACTCACATTTGGTGTATTCATGAAACAATGAGGGATCCGGAATTTTCTCGTTGAGTTGTAATCAAATTTTGAGGGTTACACATGACCAGCTAATTCATTATTCTAATTGCAGTGGTTTTGCTAGCTATCTAACGATGGCCGGTTGTACTTTCATAGGTTCTATGAGTCTGAACATGTATTGGGGGGTATCTAGGCTAATTATATTGTACACCAACGTACTGTCTATTTGGCCAGTTCTCCAGATTTAGGAGTCGTGATTCAACAAAGTTACCGCAGTAACTGCTGTCATCCTTCCCTCAAACTAGTTTCAGTCAGCACTTAGTGCGGAAATCAGTACCTAATCCAATGACAGTTGCATACTTAATGTTGCAACCAAGAAATCTCCTGTTTAAAGCTAATAGGGATAATTTATTCGCAAAACCTTATACGAAATGCTTCCAGACAGAAGCCGAAATATATAAAGGACTATATGGATTGTGTAGTATTATAAAGAATATTACTGCTGGCAGTCAACTGCCTCCTTCCTTACTTCGAATCGGAAGGGTTGTTGTTCTGTCCGGTAAACTTTGATTTTTGATAAGTCACTTGAGTTTCAGTCACACAATGATTTAAGAAATTCATTTGTTTACGACTTAGTGTCTGGCAATTTAATCAAGGCCACAACAGCGATGTTTAGAGCTCCATAGATCTAATGGCGCAGGGAACGGGAAAGAGGATCTTACCTGCCAGTCTTCAAATTCAGAAGTTGGCAGCAGATATCAATAATGTGGTCAGCTACGTCTACTTAGTAATTCATCATGTCATGAATACTACGGTGGTAATGTCAGAGTTTTCATCAAAACCCATTGCAGTCTGTCAGCAAGGCACAGTAGAAGTGCTAGTGTGAAAGTTGGTTATTAATCTGCCGTTAGCATTCCCTGTAACTTCACATTTTCTTTTGTGTCCCAGTCACAACACCAAAATGATATATTTATTTAATTTTTTCGGGTTTAAATTGTTTTATGGCCAACATATTCCATTTTATTCCTACTTCACCGCCCTTTATCATACGAGATGATTTGTTTAGAAGGATGTGAACTTCTTCCCTAGAAATGTGACTGTGTTAACGTGGACCAAGCTTCAAACCAATCCAGGTTCCACAAACTTCCGGGTGTTCAGGGACTGCAGGAGGTGAGTAAATGTAATGATAACTGTTGGTCCCAATGAAAGCTAGAAACTTTTCATTTGGCATCAAAGAGCGAGCTCATAAAAGGCAATTTCGTTCACACTAGCTGTTTAATGTATTGGATATTGAAATACCTACGTACTAAATATGACTCCTTTCGGTACCACTGTTCTTCTTGTTTATGAAAGGTTAGCGCTTTTAACTTATCTTCAGTTTTCCACCGACCTGAAAATCTACTTTCTCATCTTTAATCGCAAAAACCGGTGTTCCGCCGGTTAGATAAAGCTTTCGGCTAAATATGCTGCTTCTCTGAACCATTAAAATGGGTGCGAAGTTAACTAGTTAACTCAGCTGAGCTATACGACACTTAGTCATGAAGTTCTTAAGGTTTAAACAGACGTATGACGTAACAGTACAACTAATTTATGGTGTGGTTTTTAACTAGTATGCGTCTGGAAACTGTCTATCCCAGCTAGCATTGACTTTGGGCGCACTGCAGAATGTTTGGGGCAGGGTTAGGGCATTGTCCCACGTTCGGCAGTGCACCCAAAGAAAATATTAGCTGGGGATATTGCACAGCATTGGGTGCATCAATGAAATATATCGATATTGTATGACAAACGGTTGTTGGAAGAAGTCATTCGCATTAATGTTCATCCTAAATTCTATGTTGTATTCACTAATTTAGGTTATGAATCCAGGTCTATTGAAAAATAAGAATTAATTACTGTTTGTTTGAATTTCAGTCTTTGCTTACTAACATTAACAGTGGTTTCATTTCATTTGTTGGCGGTTTTAGATGTATCAGGAATTTTTCCTCGCAATAGATTTGTCTTAAATATCGCTGTACAGCCTGCTTAATAATGAAATGACTGAAATGCAGATAACGTCTCATTTGGCGTGTTTAGGACTCAAATGAAAAGCAGAAAACTGAAGATAATTTAATGGCTATTACTGTGTGACATTATTTATCAAGTGTTCTAAGCAGCGAATATTGTAAACTAAGTTCTGCATATCGTAAATGACCTCAAATACGTGTAAGAAGTTAAGCAATCTTACTTTTGCGCTTTGAGTTGCTATTAATTTAGGCATTGGGGTCAAATGATTTTGCTTAGTTCAGATATGAAACATTCTTCCAACGGAACATTAAGTTGAGTCATCTCATGTGAGATTTTCGGATTTATTTTGTTTTTCTACAAGCACATACTAGTGAGCTGAAGATTTTCCTTTCCGATGGTCTCTTGAATATTACCTTACAAATTCTAAAAGAAATAGTAGTGAAAACTGTGTAATCATTTTGTTAAATGTGAAATATTTTACACGTATTCATGTTATCGTATCATTCTCGTAAATTTTATTGAATTTCAAATTGGTAAAAGTAAGTTTAATACTGTAAGAGTCTTACAGTAAGTTGAACTTCGAAATAAGGAAAATTAGTGGGTAAGCAGTCAGTTTGTTTCGTCATAGGATATAAATAGGGAGTTATCTAGAGTATGTGTACTCGTGATTGTCATCTGGATGACTTTCCAGTTAATAATTTGAAAGGTAAACTTCAGTTTCATGTGCCCTCACAGATTCTTAATAATTTTATACTATGTCCTCTCTTTATTCTACAATCTGAACAGCCTTGACAATTTCAAATATCTTGGAGGCATTCCATCTCTCGACAATTACTTTTGCTTTCATCAAAAACAGATTTATCGACCGACTGGCTCCCCGTAGGCTTTCGCTCCCTAGGGTATTCCGTCTTCAGATTGAGAAGACTTCTGAATTCAAGTGAAAGATAAGCTTATTCTTTCTGTACCCTTAAGTTTCAGTGGCGATGGTCGTCTTTTACAAGGTAGAGCTGTTGGTCGTCGCCCGAATTCCCTTCTTCTGGGCTTAGGATCAGTTAGCGAACCGGGTGGGGTTAGTTAACCATCTCCCGAAATGGCCATTAGTAAGCAAAAAGTAGAGCTTATCTCTCCACTGTCCCATGCTCTTGTGAGTACACACTGGGTACTTCTAGAAGTATTTTTGTCCAAAAATTCGTATTTTTGTTATCTACTTCTAACCTTTAGTTCAGAATTACTCTAAACATTTTTGTTTATGGCCATCAAACAATACACTCGACCTACAAACCAATTTACATTCAAGTTTTTTTAACTGTTAGCTCGCAGGAATTTGATCGATCATGAAATGACGTCGTTTAGAAAACCACTGAAGAACGCAGAATACTAAACAGTTGCTTCGTATTCAGCATACACTCATGGCCCAGGAAATCATACCGAAGACGTTCTGGTTTCGAGAGGAGACCATTTAGCCACTGACAGAGAGAATCCATTGACCTCGTGCTGCTGAAATGTCCCACTCTAGGAAACAGGTGGTAAAAGGCAAATGATAACCGAAACAATCTCTGAAAAAAATGGCACCATAATTAGCTCCCAGGATAGACGTCTGGAGCGCTGGAAAGAACACTACGAGGAACAGTTTAATTGGCCCACATCCACACTTAGCCTGCCGGACATCCAACACCGCCCTGGATGGGATATAGACAAAGGTCCTCCGTCCCTAACTGAGGTTACTAGAGCAGCCACTAATCTGAAGCAAGGCAAAGCAGCGGGACCTGATGGATTTACTCCAGAGGTATTTAAGTATGGTGGAGACAGTTTACTGTCTGCGTTAACTGAGGTTCTAGGCAGCGTCTGGGAATCAGAGGAAGTCCCATCGGCTTGGTGTAAGTCACTGATCATCCCGATATACAAGAAGGGAGACAAGTCTTCTTGTGATAATCACAGAGGCATTAGCTTGACTAATATAGTATCTAAAATCCTAGGCTCAATAATACTGCGTAGACTAAGTGGTGCTCGGGAGTCACAAACACGAGAAAACCAGGCAGGTTTTAGGCCAGGTAGAGGGTGTATTGATCATATCTTCACCCTTCGACAGATCCTAGAACATAGGCATTCCTACCGGCGTCCGACAATCATTATATTTCTTGACCTAAAGGCGGCATTCGATTCTGTCGACCGGGAGGTTCTCTGGCGATGCTTGGCTGTAAAGGGAATGCCGAGAAAATACATTGCACTGATTAAGGCACTCTACTCGTACTCATGCAGCCAGGTGAGGGCTTATGGCGAGTTGTCATCTGAAGTAATGACGATTAGTGGCGTCCGTCAAGGATGCCCATTATCCCCATTTCTATTCAACTTCATCATAGACGTACTAATGGACTTAACCCTAACACACTTCAGCGACTCAGGGATTGACTTGCTACAAGGGAAGAATCTCGTTGACTTAGAATATGCGGACGATATAGTCCTTCTAGGCGAGGACTCTGACAAAATGTAGAGTCTACTGAACACCTTGAGCTGCAATCTAAGAATGTTTGGCATGCGATTCGCCCCTGTAAAATGTAAGATGATACTGCAGGATTGGACTTCACCGACCCCTAGATTAGAAATAGGAAGTGAAGTGGTAGAGCACGTTGACCGCTTCAATTACTTGGGAAGTACCATCAGCCCCAACGGGTTGATCTCAGACGAAATATCAGCACGAATACAGAGGGCTAGGTTCGCATACGCCAGTTTACGCCGTCTCTGGCGTAGACGCGATATCCAACTATCGACCAAAGGGCGTGTGTACTGCTCAACAGTCCGCTCCGTCCTCCTTTATGGCTGTGAGACCTGGCCATTGAGAGTGGAAGACATGAAAAGATTAGCTGTCTTCGATCATAGGTGTCTGCGTTCCATCTCCCGTGTGAAGTGGTATAATAAGGTGAGCAATATTGAGGTTAGGCGTCGAGTGCTAGGTAAGGGGGGGAAATCAATCGATGAGACTGTGAAATTACATCGACTGAGATGGTTGGGACATGTGTTACGTATGCCTAGTCATCGCCTTCCTCGACAATGGGCAATGTTAGCTGATATAGGGCCAGGCTGGAAAAGAGCTAGCGGTGGTCAAACGAAAACATGGCACCAGTCAATGAAATCTACAACAGTTAGTTTAAGCCAGCCACGTAGGAAGGTGTAGACTTCCTGGTTGGGGTCCTCGGGACGGTAAAAACCAATAGTTGGAAACAATCGGTGACATGGCTCAAAATCGTTCTCAGTGGCGCAGATGCATCCACTCCTTGTGACTTATGATTTCCGATGAAACTGTTTTGTTCTTCGTTATTACTACTCCTTTGTCTCACACCTCTGTTTACTGTCTATATTATGCATTTCTCCTACTTTCTTCTCTTCCTTTGTGTGCTACATGGAGGGTGGCGACTTGAACTGCCGCACATATGTGCAAAGTTCTATGTCGAAAACAGACAGACAGACAGACCCACTCTAGGATGGTATAGCTGTCCAGCACTGCCTGATTTTCAATGCCCCTCTAACTGATGTCAGCTTGTCATGTGAAATGAATAATTGTATGAATTAAAGTAGTTACGTTTTGTTAACTAAATCTAAAAGTACTCCTTAAGTATGTTCAATTTTTATATTTCATTTACAGGATCTGTTTCTTTCAAATGGATGTTATAGTTCAGTGAATCAGAAAAAGAAATATTTTCCTTCAAATGACTACATTTTAACGTGTTGCTCTTCCATGTGATATAATGACTAAGAAAAGTAGTGCATCAGTTATTCGTGAGCTGAAGGAATTAACTGAACTGATACATACCACTATTCCTGATGTCCCAGGAAAACATCGTCTAGTGCGAATGTGTCAAAAAGAGATTACACATTTTGAATCTGTAAGCGTTTGTGTTGTGTTTTTGTTATAACTAGTAGTTATTCTGATTTGTTTTTGAAATTTCTTTTGATACTCACCCTTTTTCTAGCACCAACTTGGTACAGAGTATGTTTAGTTTCGATGAGTTCTGTTGCTTTCTAACTCGCTTCGACCCATTATGAAGCTTCACTCAGCATCTGCCAGAACAGTATCACTATTATTATTATTAAATCACAAGCCTGTTACATTATTGCCGCCAAGAGATGCGCCACACACAATCTCATAGTTTCTGCGGAGGCTGGGATACTATTCAGACGGCCAGACCCATGCGGGTGGTTGTCTTGAAGAGCCACCCTCGTGAAACTTCGACTTGAAGTCCAATCCTCAAAGCAGCAGTCCCATAGTTGATGGTGACGAAAACTGGTCCGTACGCCATTCGATCTGTTTGGATTCTTAAGCCCACCTACACCACATAGGTTTGGAGTCAGGATTTTCCAGTTCCCCTAGGTAAATCTTCATGTCGACCAGTTCGGTTGCAAGCGCCAAGCGTTCTCATTAACCCGTTTACTTTTGTGAGGAACACGTAGCGTCGTGAATGCAGTGAATACTTTTACTTTTTTTTACTTTACTTCGGCTATCTCCTACGGGAGGATGAGCCGGCTTCATGAACATCTCGAATAAGAGAGTTCATGAAGTTTCATGGGAATTTGGTACGAGTGATGTCCCCAGAATCGCTCGGCCTTTTGTTTGAGAGTGCAGCTCTAGCCTTTACACAACCAAGTGTGACCTACAAGGCAGTAGGAGTGGAGTAGGGAGTCCACTATCCATTGGCAGCCGGTGACCGGAGTTCGGTTCATACGCCTTTTTGAATGGGGCCAGACATCCAGGACATCCAACAAGCCCTTTGTCCATACGTCTGCCGGTGAGCTCCAGTGAGCTTCATACGCCAGTCTTTGGAGGTTTGGAATCAGGGTTTAGCCATCTCCCCTAGACTGTCATCCAATGGACAGTCAACCCGGTGAAGAACGCCGGGCATCCGCTTTCGCCCTCTCACTTTGGTGAAAAACACCTCCGCCACGGGAAGGCAGTGAGTAGGACTTCCTCAGGAGAGGCTATGTAAGACGCCCGGTCATATGGGAGCATTTCCAGAGGTGTGCGGAGGGGTGGCCAGCCCGCAGCGCAAGGCACCCACCCCCGACCATCCTGCAGTGAATAAGACTTATCTGTTGTCAGAGGCTATGAACTCGTGCCCATATGAGAGAATTTCAAGCGGAAGTCTGAAGTCTACTCACCCTCGGCTGTACTAAGTGAATATCTCACTCTCGAAGGATATTTTAGTAAACGTAAATGTGTATATAGCGACAGAGAAGGAATAAAGGTATTGAGCATGTGTTGAAAAAAAAAGTAAATTGAATGCTTCTCAGTTTGCAACGGTGTCATATACTGTTTGCATTAAATAGCGTTTTAACTGCATAAAAAGTTTAGAAATTCCTCACTCTACTGGTTATCCGCTTTTTATGGATATTTATACTTTGATTTTATTAAGTCGGAGTAACACTTTGATTTTTCCTTCGATTGAAACTAAAAATGGAAAAGTATCTATTGAGAATGTTCTTTAGTTGTACCCAAATGTGTGTTCTGTGAATACCTATAATTCATATATCTTCAGCAGCCATGTAAATGAAGTTTTCTCTGGGGTTGATTTCTTCATTAGCTGACATTAGTTAAAGGATTGTTGAAGTGCAAAGAGGGCTAAAAATCTATTCTGTAGATATACGTCGTCGCAAAGAATTGAGCCATGAATTATCAGGCTTTAGGGCACACAAGATTATAATCCAGTAACTTGGTTCTATCCTGACTTCTCATTGACCACTGCGGATCATTATCATTGGTAAGTATTTGTTGCCAATCATTCACGGTGTTTCATTAACGCTTCCACAGATTCATCATAAGGCTTCTCACCAGCGCTCATAAGTTTCCCTGGACAATTTTCTTCTCACCTGCCAAATTACATCATTTCTGGCGTAGAAGCGATTTCCAACTATCTATCAAAGGATGTATGTACTGTGCAGCAGTTCTGTCTTCCCTCTTCTATACCTGTCAGGCATGGCTATTGTTAATGAAAAATATGAAGTGGCTAGCTGTCTTTGACCACGGATATTTATGTTTTTGCTCGCGTGTTGCTGTAGTTAGGCGTAAGGGACGGAAGTCAATCGATGAGATTGTGAACCTACATCGATTGAGATAGCTAAGATACACGTTGCTCATAATAGGCTACCACCTTACTCAACAAGCATGAAAACAGTTTTTGAAAATAGCTAGTGATGGTCAAACCAAAATCTGGAATCGATTTATGAAGTCTTTGAAAATGAGTTTGAGTCTGCATTTTAGGGGGTTGTAGAGTTCTTGGTTGCGGGGCTCGAGATGCTAAGATCCATTGGCTGGGGATTATTAGTGATATGGCTCAAAATCGTCTTCAATGGTGCAAAACGCATTCACGTTTTGTTTTTCCGCATGTTACTATTCATTGTTCCTCGCATTTCCGCTCGTTATAGTTCTGTCGAATTCCTTTTTCCTCGCTTTTCCCTACCTGTGTGTGCTATATGGTGTCTGGCAACTTGAGCTGTCGCACTTCTGTGCAAACTTTCTATGCTAAAACTTAGTCAGTCAGTTGGGTGATTTTCTTCTGGAACCTGAATTCGATTATATGTATTTATCAAGTGTTGGTTTACAGGGATTTGATTGGTTACAGAATTGATAACGAGTTGACATCATTTAAAAGACGACTGGAAAACCTGGGACTACTGGATATCTGTTTTCTTCTAGTGTGGGACACTTAGTCAGTGCGCGCCCATCGGGATTCGAACCCAGGACCTTCTTCTCGTAGACGATGAAGCCATTGAGGTCCGATCCAATGACTCGTGAATTCCAGCTTCTAATTCTGATTCACTAGAACGCCAGGTGAGAAGTCCTAACTAGTTGGGTTCTACAAGTTAGGTGAGAGAACAATTACTCGCCCGTAACAATGTCTAGCGTTTGCGCTAATTTAAATATCATGAATTGGCAGAAGTTGGAATTCGCAAACCATTTGGTCGGGTCCCAGTGACTGAATGATCTACGAGTTCGCTTAGTGACTGGGAGGTCCTGGATTCGAACCCCATCGGGTGAGTACTCTTGTACTTACTTATTTCTAAAAGTAGCAAGTCTTTTTCCACGAAAAGTGTGTATTCAGTTCCTATTTTTTCTTTTTCAAATATCCACTTGTTAGTTGCCTTCTGAATCAGTTGACGATGCAGTTGTCTGTTCAAATCTACCATATTTTAAAGCTATAACAACACTAGCCAATGCTTATGGTAATCGTCTTGTTGACTTATTGTGTCGTTATCGATTACCATTGGATTCGATTGACAGTGATACGAAAGAGTCTGGTAATTCAGTGTACTCATCCAATGGAAATGATTATTCACGATGTGAAAAACAAGGTGAGATTGATATTGTATGCACATATGTGGCTGTATCGTTTTACTTATTTGACTTTAATTAGCGTGTCACATATATGCTCATATTTTTCCTTATCTACTCCATTCTGAGCAAATGAGCAATCTTCACACATACATATAATGACGGGTGGATAGTCTTGCTGTGTGGATAAAAGCTCCTGTATTACGCGTTAACTAGATTGCACACTGTTGACAGTTACAGGAGTTCCGTGTAAAATGTTCCAGGTCTTGAAGCTATGCCTAAGCTTTTTAATTACTACATTGTAGAATACATTAGGCCCGAATAAGAATTAGGTGATGCAGTGAATCGCTGTTGAATGACACTTATAAATTAATAGAAATGAATATACCATCGAAAGTCCTCACTTATGTTCCAAGTTAAGTCATGAGAAACAGTGTGTGACAGTCAATATGACACCAGATAACTTTTAACAATACTTGTAACATCAGGGGGCCTACATTGCCAATATTTTCCAGTATTAACTGTAATACCTTAGTGCTGAGTGATCTCCATCAGGGATGCCTGGTGTTCCCATTTCTGTTTAATTTCATCATAGATGTATTATTGGAATGCACACTAACTAACTTTAGCGACTTAGGGATTGACTTGTTACCAGGAAATAGTCTTGTCAACTTAGAGTATGCAAGTGCCATAGTCGTCCCGGGTGAAGACTATGGTAAAATATTGAGTCTTCTGAATATTCCGAACAAAAATCTTCGAATATTTGGCATGCGATTCGCTCCAGTCAAAGGCGAAATGATGCTACTGGACTGAACTGCAGCGACTTACAGAACTGAGATAGAGAGTGGAGTGGTAGTGCGTGTTGATCACTTCACTTATTTGGGAAGTTGCATCAGCCCTAATGAACTAATTCATGACGAAATCCTAGCAAGGATACGAAAGGCTTGTGTTGCGATTCGCCAACTTACGTCATCTTTGGCACAGTCGTAATATATGGCTATCCAATGAAGGATGTGTGTGCTGCGCAGCAGTTCTCCTCGTTCTCATGTATGGCTGTGAGGCATGACCATTAGAAGTGGAAGATATGAAAATGGTAGACGTCTTTGAACACAGATGTTTGCGTTCTGCCTCCTGTGTTTGTTGGTGAGTATTATTGAGGTAGAGTGCTAGGTAATGGAGGGAAGTCAATCTTTTCTACGTTCACCTGAAGTCCGATTTTCGCTGCTTCTTCCGCCAGTTTGTTGGTTTTTTCCTGTAAGTCTTCGAGTTCTGTGACATTAGACATAAATCATCCGCGAAATCCAGATCTACTATAGTCTTATTGGTCCAGTGCATTCCTGTCTTCTCTCTCCCGACAGTCTTCCGCATAATCTCCAGTCCACCGCAGTTAGGAATACCATCGGTGATAGTAAGCAGCCTTGTCTTACTTCTGTATTCACTTTAAAGGCTTCACTGAGTTTCCTGTTCTGGATTACTTGACATGTGGCATTATTTAAGGGCTGATGATACTGCTTCAGTTGCCAAGGTTGGACTAAATGGACAGGGATTCGAACTTGGGATCCATGTAGCTGAAAGTATGAGCAAGCTGCATCGCCATCTCATGTGTTTGAGAGAGAGAGAGTTTGTGGTACTTCTAAACTGTATGTAAGGTGGAGCAGGGTTTCTGTTCTCTAACTCACTTCAGTTATTACAGTTTAAAAGGGTAAGCAAGCTTATGAACCACAAATCTAAAAAAAAACAGTGTATGACAATAAATATCTCAATGTAAAACTAGTGCAGAATACAAGTAAAACATAAATATCATTTAATATGTGTGATGATGATGATGAGAGGATAAGAAAACTGTTTCACTAGGTTTCATAATATCTTAGTCGGTGTGTTTAGTCCATCCTGAACATTATTTATTATTTTATTTTATTCTATTCTTTTGCGTTTCGTGTGGAAAATAGGGTCTCAGACTGAAGCTTTGAAGTTTCAGTAGCAGTGGTGTTTAGTTTTCACGGGGGGGATTTGCTAGTGTAACACCCAACCTTCCCTCGTTACCGGGCCTACCAGCTAAGTGAGGTTTAGCAGTGCGTCGGCCGGGGATTCGGTTATGAACTGACAGCTGTTAGAGATAACCACTGGAAACCAGGAAGTGCTCTGCGGCTGTTTCATCCTAGTCTGGGTTGTTTCATTAATGCGCTCTTCTTACACCTCATCAGGGATCGAACCCACTGAGTCCCAAACTAGGATGAAACAGCTGTCCAGTACTCCCAGCTGGTTTTCCAATGGTTCTCTAACTAACGTCAGCTCATTATGAAATCCTTCAACCAATCAAACAAAATCCTTACAAAACCAACACTTGAAAATAAGTATAAAGCAAATAAATAAATAAAGTTTTAAGTTTGACTGCGGAGAGAACTGCTAAAAACCAGGATGTACTGGACAGCAGTTGTCTCCTAGTTTTGAACTCTCCAGAAGTACACACCTGCTGGGGTTTGGGCCAGAGACTTTCCGGTTACAAAACAAGCTCGCAGACCATTCAGACATTTGAACCTGGTCCGAAGACCGGCCCATGAATTCCAACTTCTGCCAGTTTGTGGTCTTAGCGCGACTGGCACCAGCCATTGTCATCACTGGCTAGTATTTGTCCTCATACCCGACATGGTAGACCACACTGGTCAAGACTTCTCAATAGAATTCCAGGCAACTTCGACCTGTAGCCAGTCTCTAACTAGCACTAGATTAATTTTGAAGGGTTATTTTCAAGTTTGATCACGAGCTGACATCAGTTAGCGAGCCACTGTAAAACCATGGAGTATCCACTGCAGTAGTCGTAGTTTATGATCTAAGAATCACATGTACTATAATACTAGTTCATTGATGGATAGGGAGTTGAAATCAGTAATTAAATGGTGTCACCATTCTTCCCCCCTTATCATAGTTGTACATTCTTTCCTAATTTTAATTATGCTTTTTTTTGGGGTGTGTGTGTGTGTGATTATTTCGTCTTTCAGATTCACTCTTTGTCGAATTGGTCTGTACACAATCGGATGAAGATGTTGATGAAATGTCAAGATTTAGAACATGCAATGGGAATGCATCAGAAGCATGTTTATGGGCTCCTGCTTTATGGATTAAAGTTGTAACACGTGATTCATCACGTTTAAATAATGCTTGGCGAGGTTAGTTTACATTTCAGCTGTGTTGTATATCACCATATATATCCATCTGAATAAAACACAAAATAATTGAGCGAAGAATGTCCTTTTCGATAATTTCCTCTTCTGGCTCTACAATTATATATATATGTCTATATACATAGAATATTCTAGAATAGTAGTCAATGTCAATATTGGCGTTTTTTTAAATAATACCGATTTGTAAAGTAAGATCACAGTGGAATTACAGTTCATTGAAGATGCTTAAATTATAATAATAATAATGAAAATATAGTAGCAAATAGAATATCAACTAAAATTAAGAAAATTTCTACAAAAAACTGAGGATCGTTCAAACTTAGATGGCCAAGGTAAGGGCAATGTTTGAACCAACCAACTTCTTTTGGACACATAAATTAGGCTTCTTAATATGGATCCCAACAGCCTCAGCAATATTTAGTAGTCGAACTCTTAAGGCGAAATTGAGATTTGTTGGTATGCGGTAAATGACCCTGAAAGCCTGGTTAACATCAATCTTGTGTTCTGTATCCGCAAGATGAGATAGAATAGCGCTACGAATAGATTTTGTTTTTCATTTACTTAACCACGCAGGGTGATGTTTGGAAATTGGACGAGAAACACACCTAATTGTACGGTCGATATAACTGTCTCCACAGGAGCAGTTAAATCAATATTATTTTAAAAAAACACTAATATTGTTATTGACTACTAATCTCTAATATTCTATGCATATAAACATATATAAATACATATATATATATAATTGCAGAGCCATAAGAGGAAATTATCGGAAAGGATATTCTTTGCTTAGTTATTTTGTGTTCTATATTTTATTGTTGTTTTTGTTACTCTGGTGCCTGTTATCTCATTCAGTAGACATTTCCCCCCAACGAAACACACTTAATTCTATTGTAGGTGAAGCCTCTTCAAAGCATGCAGCGTGTTTAGGACGTCAAGCTGAAGAGTTAGTCCTTGCCTCACATTGGTATCAACGTGGTCAACCCCAGCATTGGATTCGAGTTATTGTTCATTGGTTGCCTCAATCACCATCTCGTACTAATGGGAAAATCACTGATTTAGATGAAGATTTACGTGAATACCTCGAAGATATTGGAGTTACACTGATCACCGGTTGCGATCCATGGATTGGCGATAGCAGTATAACCTCGTCGATATCTTCTTCAATGAAACCGTCTGCTTATGCCGTATCGCTTAAAGACATCATGTTCCCGTTACATAAAGTTCGACAATTTTTAAATCAATTTATGCAACACAATGAGTCTAGTGATTTCAAACAATTTAAATATGATTCAATTCAACAAATATTTAGCCTATTTGATAAAATGTCCAATGCTAATATTGATAATAATAATAATGATAATAATAAATCTGTGATGATTGACGAAATGATACCCGGGGAAGAAAATGACTCGTTGAACAGCAGAATTGAAATGCATACTCCAATGGACGCCGTTCTACAAAGATCTGCATTATGGTCATTTTCGTGTGATTCATATAATCAGTGAGTTTGTCTTCTTGTTTTACGTGTTTATGTATGTGTGTTGTATTACATGTTTTCTAAAGCATTCTGATTGGAAGCAGTACACTTTATTTTTCTATAAAGGAAATTAGTCTGATGATGTAAGGAAAGTCACTGAACACATTGAAACGGGTCCATATGAGGAAATCAGCCACCTCTGGCACCGTCGCGACGTTAGCCTGGCTGTCAAAGGTCGGGTATACAATGCTTCGGTGCGGGCTGTCTTGCTCTATGCCTGTGAAACCTGGCCTCTCCTAGCTGAGGATATGCAGTGACTCTGCGTGTTTGATCATCGCTGTCTCCGCAGGATTGCTTGCGTTCGATGGCATCATCGCGTGAGTAATTCTGAGGTTCGGCGGCGTGTGTTTGAACACAGTGGAGATCACCATTCATTGAGTGTCGTCATCTGGAAACACCGGCTCCGGTGGCTTGGACATGTGCTACGAATGTCATCCCAGAGGCTTCCGTACAGGTCTCTGTTCGCTAGCCCTGGGACTGGATGGAAAAGGCGGAGGGGTGATCAGTCCATGACGTGGCGTCATGGGATGAATGATATTTGTGCTAGATTACCATCGGTTGCTGTGTCACGACTCCCTGGTTGGGGTCTGCGAGATAGCTCGAATCGATGGCTCGAAACGTTATCGGATATGGCCAAGAATCGTAATCAATGGCGAACGTGTTGCAATTTCCTTCTTTCTTCCCTTCCTGATGATAGTTAACGAATACTGTTTGAACTTGTTAAACTTGACTGTTTTCCTTCCAGATGAAGTTCTTTATCCGTTTTCTACTTATATTTTTACTTTTAATCTATGTTGTTTTATTATTATTGTGTGGCGCATCTTTCTTGGTGCCATATTGTACCAAGTTTTTCTGTGTTTAAATAAATAAATATGAGGAAATCAACAAGCCTGTTGATACAGTAATGAATAAGATTAAGAAATCTACCGCGAATTTAGTGCGTACTATGAAGCTGTCATTGGGTGAGTCTAAATGGTTTAATTTAATGCCTAAAACTAATAACGCCAGTAGAATATACAATACTATTAAAATACATAAGTCAGGTTAACCCATACGACCAATAGTGGATTTCAGGAATACCCCTACTTATGAATTATGAAAACGCCTAGCTCTAATATTATGCCCCATTAGAAATTGTCCAAACTCTAGACTAATTAATTCATATGGGATGAAAAGGAAACTAAATAGCATTCAACTGGAGAATGATGAGACAATCGTTAGTTTTGATATAACTAGTTGGAAGCAGTTAAAAAGAATTAACTGCGGATCCTGAACATACTCTTAGGACGAAGCTGCCCATTGAGGAAATTATTTCAGGGATTCAATTATGCCTCACATCTACTACCTTTAAATTCCAAGGCAAAATGTATAGACAAACAGATTGTGTAGCGATGGGATTGCCAATATCCCCTATCGTAGCAGATATATTTATGGACAGTTGGGAAAATATTACTCTTAATACAACATTTAATCTTACTCAAAAATATGGTGGAGATATGTGGATGACACTTCCACAGTGTTAGAAACAGAACATATCTCTAGCTTCTTGACACATATAAACTGACTAGTAGGGGGAATAAAATTCACATTTGAATCGGAAAATGAACAAGGAGAATTAGTTATGTTAGATTGTAAAATAAAACGAACAGAAGAAGGTAAACTACACACTAGTGTTTATAAAAAACCAACGCATTCTGATAGGTATTTAGACTTTAATTCGTCTCATCCGTTGTCTGTGAAGGCTGGCTTAGTTAAGTGTCTAACAAACCAAGCAACAGCACTAAGTAGTACAACTAAAAACCTAAGCGATGATATGAAACAGATAGAAAAAGCGTTGGAGTTACATAACTAACTATCCTATAAAATTCATTAGGAATATCAAAACAGGTCGAAAGTAAAATAAAAATAATGGTGAAACTTATGATGATAACATAAATAAGAAAAAATATAAGGCATCTTCTGTTATACCATATTAGGAGGGGATATCTGAGGCCTTACGTAGGATTTTTAATAAAGCAGGAATTAGATTGATGGCATTCAAACCTACAAACTCACTCAGAGACAAGCTCTGTAGACTAAAACACCCAGTGGACCCAATTAAACAAAATAATATAATTTACAAAATACCTTGCAATGACTGTGAGGTCAACTACATAGGTAGATCAGGAGTAGTCAGATTATCAGAACATAAGAATGGTTGACCTCGAAAAGATAAGTAATTTAGAAAAAAGCTCAGCAATTTCACTTCGCACGTTAACACACAACCACACAACAGGGTGGGTGGAAGAGAGTTAAAATTCTAAGAAGTAATATAGGTAGGCGGAGATAGGGAGAGATTGATTACCAAATCCTTGTTCATCGAGTCTACACCCAACACATGCAACAGAAATGACTCAATGCAAATACCAGAAATATGGAAGATATCATTACCACCAGTCAAATCAGAGGAGGATAATAAATAATCTTAAAATTCTATTTCAATTCAAGCATATCCCAACATTCTAAGAAGTAACTTATTATGACTATGAAAACACTCGTCTTATTTCCCATCTGATTGTATTTGATCAGTAACACTCATATTATTATTTCTGAATGTACATTATCTCATATTGATTTTTATTTAAATATCTAGTCAATTTCACACATGTATATAAATGAAGGAAAAAAGTTGTGTGAGTAACTTGATATAATTATGAGCAATAATTTGTGCTGGAAACGTAGTCATCAGTTAATATTACTGTGTAACACTACGCTGTGTGATTTTATCAAAATAAAATCTTATCTATATAGTAAAATTAGTCTTCTACTGCTTTACTCAATGTAGCTAGCCGGTATCTCTCATTGGTGGTGCTGTTCCTTATTCTTGCATGACACTTGCCGCTCATTATGACGAAATCAACTTTGTTAAATATGCCGATGAAGTCATACTGTTTCCATGCCGGTCACATGTCACAATCAGATTGTTCTAGAATGAATGGGAATTAGTCAGTAATCCTTGTCGAATGGTCTTCGGCTAAGTCGCTTCAATTGGGATTTACTTGAATTGGTTCTTTCTCATGATTCATATATCAAAGAAGTTGAAACTAGGTCAATCGAATGTTAAATACCCTGCATTATGTCTGTCTGTCTGTCTGGATTCAACATAGAACTTGGCACCGAAGTGCAGCAGTTCCAGTTGCCACGTTCCAAATACCACACAAAGGTAGACAGGAAAATGAGTGAAGAGAATCAATAGAGTTTTGACAAGTATAAGAGTGAAACACAATGATTAATGGTAGAAAGGAATATGAAAGATTACAGAGACTGAATACATCTGCGTAAGCCATTGACAACGATTTTGAGCCATGTCACCTATTGTCTCCAGCCATTGATTCTTAGAGTCCCGAGGGCCCCAACCCAGAAGTCTGCATCTCCCTACCTGACTCAGTTTAACTGTCAGGGATTTCATGGATTGATGCCATGTTTTTGTTTGGCCACCACTTACTCTTTTCCAACCTGCTTCCCAAATAGGTGAAGTGGTCAACATGTTTTGTCACTTCACTCCCTATCACTAAGCTTGGAGTTGACGTAGTCCAGTCCTGTAGCAGCATCTTACATTTCACAGGGGCGAATCGCATGCCAAACATACGAAGATTGCTGCTCAAGGTGTTCAGATGACTCTGCATTTTGTCAGCATCCTCCCCTAACAGGACTATGTCATCTGCATATTCTAAGTCCATAAGACTATTCCCTGGTAACAAGTCGATTCCTAAGTCGTTAAGTTCAGTTAAGGATACTTGCATTAGCATATCTATGATGAAGTTAAACAGAAATGGGTAAAGTGGACATCCTTGACGGACACCACTGGTTGTTATCAATTCAGATGACAATTCCCCATAAGCCCTTACATGGCTACGTGAGTTTGGGTAGAGTGCCTTGATTAGTGCAATTTACTTTCTTGGCACTCCCTTCACAGTCAAACATTGCCATAGTACCTCTCGATCCACGGAGTCGAAGGTCGCCTTCAAGTCAAGCCGCCTGCATTATGTATCTCCTCTAATCTTCCCTGGTCTTCCTACATCATGTTAATGTCGTCTAACCTTCTACGTAAGGAAGTTTAGACAATCTAGTATCACTAAGTCTCTACTTTTAAAGTTTGTTAATTCCTGTATTCCACCTATTTTTCGTTATTGTTCCTCCGCTTTAATTTTTCCCGGGCGCTAGAAGCTGTCAGTAGGATAAGTGGGGTGTTGCTAGACTAACTCGTTAAAATTATTTTGAACAAACACTTGAATTCATGCAGGGTATTGACGAATATCATCTTGTCGGACTTTGAGCACCCTCTCTAATGTACACAACTATCAGGATGGTCGGGGTTGGGTGCCTTGCGCTGTGGGTTGGCCACCCCTCCGCACACCTCTTGAAATGCTCCCATATGACCGGGTGTCTTACATAGCCTCTCCTGAGGAAGTCCTACTCACTGCCTTCACGTGGCGGAGGTGTTTTTCACCAAAGTGAGAGGGCGAAAGCGGATGCCTGGCGCTCTTCACCGGGTTGACTGTCCATTGGATGACAGTCTAGGGGAAATGGCTAAACCCTGATTCCAAACCTCCAACGACTGGCGTATGAAGCTCACTGGAGCTCACCGGCAGACGTATGGACAAAGGGATTGTTGGATGTCCTGGATGTCTGGCCCCATTCAAAAAGACGTATGAACCGAACTCCGGTCACCGGCTGCCAATGGATAGTGGACTCCCTACTCCACTTCTACTGCGTTGTAGGTCACACTTGGTTGTGTAAAGGCTAGAGCTGCACCCTCAAACATCACTCGTACCAAATTCCCATGAAACTTCATGAACTCTCTTACAAACGACTCTCACCATGCTACGGCGTTCCCGGTAAGCGACGCGCCCTGTGCTTGGCGATGTCGCAAGGGTGGACAGCTGAAAACATGGCTTGGTACAGTCAAGGCTGATTTGGAGTGC